GTGAAAATTAATATATTGATTCTATTTCTATAAACATCTTTCTGTGAAACAATTCTGAAGTGAATGCTCCTGAAGACCACATCCATATGTTAAGCTTCTTGATAGAGGCCTTAATGCTGACACTAGATTTCAGACTGCTGGAAAGACAGTTGTTCTCACTTGTACTTCCCAAGAGTGCATAGAACTTTTATCTAATACCGTTGGTAGAATTTATATGTAATTTAAACACTCTTTGAAGCAGCAAGAGATGTGATTGGCATTCCTTTACTACCTCTCTTTCAGAAAGGAATGGGAAGAAGTATGGCCTCAGCCTGCCATAATAGTATGAAATAATACTTCTTTTCAAGGGAAAATATTTAAATTTTCTCTCGATATGATAGCCATGACAAGGATCAGTCCAAAAGATGATTTCCTGTCTCCAAAGGAAATTTCCAACCTAAAATATGAAAGCATGAGCTTTATTTCCACAGCTTAAGTTTCTTGAGCTGTTTCTGGATGAATTCCCCACAAATCAAGAAGATGGTTTTCCTCTCAAATCATTTCTTGGCATACTTGATGAGCTCTTGCCTAAAGTACAAGGCACAAAGTTGTTTTTCTAAGATGGAGACGGATTTTAGTAGCACCTGGGATGAAGCCACCAGTTTATTTCATAACAGTCATTGGGTGATAGCTGATAAAAGACCAAATGAAACTGATAGCAGAAACAGAAGGCTTCATCTCCATTGTTGTATGGCCTTCATAGCACTGATTTGCTTTACACGTGAGATAAATATTTGACTCTTAATGATTCATGCTAAATATGCAGCAAGAGTTACAGACAGGTACTAGTTTAGTAGGTATCTTGGAATTACTAGTGATCTTCTTGTTTTGTTCCCCCTCTGTGCAGTGGGGATCTTTCCCATGTAAAGAAACCCAAGATTTTGACTTCAGAAAGAGCTCACACTTCAGACTGCAGCAGTAAGTTTGCTGGCCTTGATTGGAGACTGGCTCATTCAGGGGACTCCTGCTAGGTACACTTCAATGATGTCAAAAAAAGGTGGGAGGAAAAGAGAATTTAAAAATATATTCTAATAGACCACAGGCACTTTTCATGACGTCTCCTTTTCCCACTGGTTGGTAATAGTTTCAGAACTTCACTAAATAAGTTCAATATATAAAGATTAAACAATTTAGAGACATTTACTTGTAAGTGAGATTGTTTTTATTAATTGTATTTTTACTGTATGCTGGCCTCATATTCTTTAGTAGCAAAATTAATGTTTGCACTGTCATGCATCCATCTAAGAGATTCATATTGCAATCAGGAATTACTCTTTCTGTTCATGTGTTGGAGAGAAAAAAGTGAAAGTGTGTGCAAGAGCCAAATTCAACATTAGACCTGAATTCTAAGTCTTGGTATTTAGAAGAGCAGACAATGAAACACTCAAGTTGCTTCAAAAATACAATGTGAATTTACCTCTGAACTCTTCAGAACACAACATGTGTTCATACTGAATTTGAGTTGGATCATAAAACAATTCTTTATTTGAACTATGGGAGGGGGTAAAACCAACACAAATAACAAAATCTCAATTCTTTACTGCAGCATCTTTTGGCTTCTTAGGTCCTTTTGCCCAGACCTCCTCACCTTGTGAGCCCCAAAGCACCTCTTGATGTTATGGATTAGCTTGCCCATTTGACTTTCACTGGTACCACTGGAGAACAACTTTTTGGCATCCTCTTCATGCCTGGACTCCTGCTGAGTACCCCATGGGCCTCATCTAGCTTCTGTGCTTGTAAAGGTCAGCAGCAATCCTATAGGTTATTTATTTAACTAATACTCCTTTTTAAACTCCTACCTTTGCAGGGAGCGGAAGTAAACTTCACGTATTTTCAAACAATCCATTTCTTCCTGACTGAACAATTATGAAGTCTGATGAATTAACCATTCCAACTGGTCTGCCATGGGCACACTGTTCCTTACAAATGGTGTGTGCCACATATCTCAGGCCTGCAGTGGTTCCCTTTACTGTGTGGGTGACCAGAACATGGAAAGCAGCAGCTCAGGAAAGGATTTATGGGTCAGTGGCAAAGCAGAAGTTACCAAAAAGAACTAATGAGAAGTTTAGATACCTAAGTGGAAAATTGTGATCAGAAAAAGAGAGGTGATCTTAGCTCTGTATGAACCATTACTGAGAGAGACACAGCAGTGCTTGGTACTATCCCAGTATCCCTTCTGCAAGGCATCTTCAGAAACAGGAGAGTGTGGTTCTGGTTCTGGAAAAATTCTATAAGTTTGAACCTTAGGAGTGTGGGAGATGTAAATGACACAGCCTATTTAGTTTAGCGGGAAGAAAATAGATCAAAATGCAAATCAGTTTACAGTGTAGTAAAATCAAAAGAGAGAAAAGGCCTAGCTGACATGCAGCTATATCCACTGTTGGAAACTGAAGCCTTCGTATTAGAAATAAAGCCCAAGTTTTAGCAGACAAAATAGCGAACTTGGCAAAAAATACCCAAAGAAATAGTGTGTTGTCATCTCTTAATGTTTTAAAACCAAAACTGCACATCATAAAATGAAAGCTGATCATCTTCATACAGCAAGGCCTGACCAGGAGAGATATCTTTAAATTACCTTTGGTTGCTTGCTTGCTTTACTGGTGATACAGGTCTCACCTTCTATAAAAGCTCAGAGGTCACTTCAGCCATGGTCTACAGCTGCGTAATTCCTAGAGAAAGTCCATTTACTATTAACAAAGATATTCTTAGCTCACGGAATGACTTTTGGAAGAAAAAATAAAATGGCAAAATCTGCCCACATTATAACAAAACATATATTCAAGAAATGCATTCAGATTTTTTTCTCCAGAAAATACTCTGCATATTTTATTAGAGCATTTTAAAACTGATAATTGAAGTATTTTATTAGTGAAACAGCACTTGTCCCGTTTACCGTATTTTAATGGTGCTCTCCCCAGCCCTCCAGCCAAGCAGATGTTGCACATTGCAGATGACAACGCCTTTGCCAAGTTTGCTTCCCTGCCAAACCCACAGACTTTTTTTTCTTTTTTTTTTTTTTTTAGCTCTGTGTCAGAGTCAGATAGAGTTCATTGCCCCGGCGCCCCTGCAGCTAACCCGCGAGTGCCCGGCTGCAGGGACAGCTCCGGGAGGCAGCACCGGGATGCTCGGCGACCCCGGCTCTTCTCGGGGGAGGGGGCTCACCCTTGCCTGAGGGGTTTCGAGGGGAGCGGGGTGCCGGCTCGGCTTGGAGAGACGGGTGTGCTCAGCTACCCGGTGCCCCGCGGGGGCCCGGCACGTCGGTCCCGGCTCCCTCTGACGGGCCCTGCAAACAGCACGGGTCCCTGGATGTGAGGCCGCTGGCCCACTCCTGGCCCGGATGGGAGCCAAGCCCGTAGCCGCGCAGTCCCCGCGGGCGGCCCCTCTCTCTGCCCTCTGCGCCCGCATTCTGCAGCAGAAGCGTTTGCGGAAAGCTGCAGAGCTGCGAAGCCGATTTGACCTTCCACTTGTGTATGTAAGGGCTGGCGAAGGTTCTCCGCCGGCCGGCGGGATGCTGCGCCCAATGGCAAACCGGGCCTGTGGTTTGTGCCACTTTTGTTTTAATTTTAGCGGATATCGCTTAATATTGACCATCTCCAATTTTCGAGGTAGTGACGAAAGGTCAGATCTGACGCATGTTCCTCCCCCTAATCAGCCTATTTGCAAATAATTAATAAGGGCACAATTAGCCAGTAATGATGGGACCCGCAGTTACGGTCTTCCTGATGGTAACAGGGGATTGATGCTGCTGAGCACATCTCCTTTTCATGACTCAGTCGAGGTTCTGCGATGAGCGCTTTTGATCTCTGTCAGAAATAACCCCAAGACCTCCCTCCAAATAAAGCCCTAACAAGAAGTCAGAAGAGCACCGTAGCTATGTTTGCTTTTGGTTTTTATTATCAACAATCAATTAATGGTACACTCTTGGAAAACTATATGCACATGTAGAAATATTTCCCCTTTTAAATAGAAGCATTCATTTGAACCACATATAAATAAATCTGAAAACCCTGAACATAATTTATGACGATTATGCTCACAAACATATTCCAACAGGTAGGGAAAAGAAAAAATGAGACGACATGCAACCGATAACAAAAATATATATAATTGCCTGAACCTGGTGTCTCTAAACGCAAAGGTAACCGAACCCGTGAGAACCTTATTTCTCCATAAAGACACGCCATAGAGACTACGAGAAGGGAAAACATTATTTATACGGTCAACTAGACAAGTCTGTACTGATATTAACACTATACAGTTGAGTCACAGAACACAGTTGTAGAAAGACACGGAAAAAGAGAAAGCATACCTGGCGACATTCAACTAAGAGCTATAGTTTGTGCCTTTTAAAATAAAATTAGAAAACCCTAACGGAGATGCCTAAAAACTGCGTGGACCGTGTAATAATAATAATTAATAATAATTAATTAATTAATAATAAATACAGGCCGCCGGCCGTGAGAGGCGCGGGCCCTGCAGGGTCCGGATCCGCGGTGCGGAGGCGGCGGCTGTCGCCGGGTCAGGGCCGAACCCGGCGGGGCACCGGT